TAAACCACTGGGTCTGCAATGACAACCCCCCCCCCGCCCACCCCCACCCGCCCGACTTCCACCTACCCCCACTTCCACCCACCCCCTAGCCCCACCCCTCTGCCCACCCCCCCCCGGGCTCAGCAAAAAAAAGATCATAACACTCCATCACTACTTGAGTTTGTACTACCCCAACTTGAACCCTCTGACCCCACCCCCCTACAACCAAAGACATGTTACTCATCGCCCTCATGCTCAATTCATCGCCCTCATTATCATCTTGATCTCATCCAGCACTTCCACCCTCATCCCCGCTCTGATCACTTCAGAAAACGAAAACCGCAATTCGCGAATGCGAGAACTAGGAGGGAAGGAGGGAACGAGGGAACGAGGGAACGAGGGAACGAGGGAACGAGGGAGTCAGGCAAGAGATGCAGGCAAGCAAGGAGAGATGCAGGCAAGGCAGCAGGCAAGCATGCACGTAGGCAAGCAGGAAAACAAGGCGGGCAGGCATGGAGAATGGCAGCGTGCAGAGAGGGAGGGAGTCAAGGGTGAGGACAGTTGTGGAAGAAGAAGTATAGCGATTACCATGAGATGAAATCTGAAGCTATCATATCGGCTGTGGATTCTTCGTGATCAAATGAGTGAAATTGAAACGTCAAGATACGGTTGACGGGACACTCTAGTCCATGTTCTACCCTTCCCCTGCCGCTCTGGCTGACATGATGCATCCAGCTACAAGATGGTGCAGATCAATGAAGCCATGCTGCGAGGACGGGCGGAGCACAATGATAGGTGTCTATCCAACCTCAAGGAGATATCGCTTCACCAGCAGAATATCGAGGGAATAAACAGGTACCACCTTAAGATTGTTCCAGACGCTTTTTCATTTGAACCATGGTTGTAGAATGTTGACGAGAATGTGCCCGGAGCTCGAGATCTTGTATCTTCAACATAATTTGATACCAAAGATCGAGAATCTGAAGCGATTGCGTGACCTCGACTATCTAAACCTGGTAAGGTGTCGTGGGTAGGAGGATGGAGAAGATGGAGACGAAGGCAACATGCGTTGTTGTTTGTGACTGCACTGTTGGCAGGCGCTGAACAACATCAAGAAGATTGAGGGATTGGACAGGAACGAAAAGCTGAGGAAACTTGACCTGACCGTCAACTTCATCGATATTGAGAACCTCCTGTCTGTTGAGAGCTTGAGGGTGAACCACAACCTGCGCGAACTGTTCCTCATCGGGAACCCTTGCACGGAGTTCCAGTCCTACAGGCTCTACGTCATCGGGACGCTGCCACAGCTCGAGAAGCTGGACGGGCATGCGATCACTGCGACGGAGAGGATTCAAGCAGAGCAGCAGCTGCGAGACATTAGGGTGAGACTGGTGGCCGCTGCGAGGGAGCGCGTGAAGCAGATGGGAGGAGATCCGAATCTTGTGGACGCAGAGCAGGTAGAGAGCTCGGCAGAGGCCCAGCACATGCTAGCAGGTAGTGACTTGCTGCGACAGGTTCCTGACCAGGAGATCGACTCTGACGAGGAGGGGAAGGAGTTGTATGGGTTCAGCCCAGAGATTCGGTTGGCAGATTACAAGCGGGAGGTGAAGAAGAAGCAGCGGGAAGACGAGGAGAAGAAGACGATGGAGAGGGAGAAGGACCCTATGAAGGCGGCCAAAGAGGATTACTACAAGAATCGGTCTCTTATGAAAGAAGGTGTGAGGTTCGACGAGGATTGGAGAGCGAGAGTTAAGGCTGTCTCCAGATGGCACTCCACGAGTTTGCAACGATGGCAAGTGGAACTTTGACATCAACGATGACAAGGAAGGAAATATTGTTGTCCGCATCGAGGTAGCCCAATGTGCATTCCTCCTCTCTACCTGCCCTTGCTTTCCACTCCCCCATCCTCCCTGTATCCTCTTGGTCCCTCTCCCCTCTCCCCTTCCTTTTTCTCCTCTCTCCCTCCCTCCCTTCCTCCCTCCCTCCCTCTCTCCCTCCCTCCCTCTTCCACGCTCTCCTTCCTCCCCTTCTGCATGCTCAGTCAGACGTCTTTGTCTCTGCAGTTTCCCAAGTTCATGGACTCGTCCATGCTCGACTTGGACGTTCAGCCAACCTTCTTCCGAGTGACTTGCAGGAAGCCCGAGAAGCACGACAAGATCATCCAGGTCCTCGCCCGGCCCTGGTTAAGCAGGAGGAAGCAAAGGCGAGGCAGGAACAGGGCGAGGAGGAGGAGGAGGAGAAGGATAGTAGCTGCAGCAGGAGGAAATGCAGAAGGAGGATGGTAGCTACCGCAGGAGGAGGAGGAGAAAGAAGGGGAGATTGGTATTGGAGGATGGGTGGGGCGGGATGTGTTTGCATGGGAGTATGACAACAAGTGCAGCTGCTGCTCCCCGAGGAAGTTCGTGCAGACGCTGCGACGGCTCAGAGATCGCAGATCACGGGAGAACTTAAGATCATCTGCCCGAAGCTTCACTGGGTACCAACAGCGAAGTCGCCCGCAGCATTGCTGATCTTCCTCCTCAGACGCGCTCGGCCAAGCAGGAGGACAAGGCAGTGACGCTACAAGCCAGTGAGGCTCCTCGGAACCGGCGGATGGCGAACGAGCTACAGGGAAGCGTGGACATCAAGAAGTGCGAAGCTGTCATTGTTTTTCTTCCCCTCTAACCACCTTTGAGCAGCATGACCAAGCAATCCCCCAACAGACACGAGGCAGACATCCGCCCGCTGACGCAGAAGCTTTCGAAAGTCTCAGTCGATCAAGACTTCGAGGACGATCCCGATTGTCCTCCACTGGAATAAAAGAACAAGGAAAATGGCGAAATGATCAGAATGTCCAGGGATTTCGCTTGTCAAGGTCCCAGTCAGCATCTCTCATTTCCTCAAGTTGACCGGCCTAACTTGAAGTCTCCATTCGTCTGCTGTGCCAAACTCCCTGCCGCGCCCCCCCTGGACCTGCTTGACTGCCTGAGAGGAGGAAGATGCTCCCATTGAGCTGCTTCCTGCAGGCTCGCCTGTACCTCTTTGCGCCTCCTTCATGTTGTCAACGATCCCTATGCACGCCTGGATTTGCTCCTTGTCAACCAGGTTGAAGTCCCAGAGAGCAAACAGATGAAACAGGAGCTCGTCTCTGAGTCCCTGCTCAATCAGCTGCTGCCCAAAGTTCCGTGCGAAGGTCTCGCAGGCGACAGGGACCTGAAAGTCGGCAAGGATGGCATGCCTATGAACGAATCTGTTCCACAGCTTCATGAAAGCTTTCTCCCTGGGCGTCACGTCCTCAAACTCGTCCATGAGCCTCTCAGCCTGTGCCAGCTGCCACTCGTCATCCACATCGTCATCACTGTCGTAGTCCATGTCCTCCGGGTCGATCGGAAGGCAAGTCTGCGAGCGGTAGAACTGTCGCTCACCAAAAGACCGCTTCTCTGATCGCTTCTCTTGTCCTGCCTTGCTCGACTTGGAAATCGATCGCTTCCCAAACTTCCCCGACGGTTTCAAACTCGATCCCTCACCCGCCTGTCCCTTCTTTCCCTCACCAAGCTTTCTCTTCCCTCTCGGCACATGGGGCTCGGAGCTAACAACCTCCCGCGAAATCTCCTCCTCAAAGGAATTTATGTGTGCGACTGAGGTGTGAAGGGGAGGCCCCCCCTTCCTCGGGGAGAAGAAGGAGAAGTTCGCAAACCCGACTGCGATGTCGCTCGAGGGTTTCACGCTCACGTAGATCTCGGGAGTGCATGTTGCCGTCTCAGAAGCATACGAGAACCTGTCGTGCGATGCTTGGAGGTGCCATAGAAGCCCCTCAAGGTCGTTACACGTCATGTCGCACCACAAGCAACGCAGCTCCGACAGCTTCTGCACGCTGCGAGGGTGAAGCCGTGAGGACGCGGGGAAGAAAACAAGGGATGCGTTACCTCTCCTGTGAACCCTCGTTGAATCTCAGCCGGAACGTCAGGTGACTCTTCCTCGAGGAGCTGATAAATCTCCGCAGGTTGACCGACTCCTGCACTTCCTTGTTCTCCCCCGGGTCCGTGTGGGCTGTCTGGTGTGTCGGGCTATCCGACAAGTTTGAACCCTGCTTGTCCTTGCTCACTGCCAGTCCCCGGTCCCCCCTCTTCTTCTCGGCGTCCTCGTGCTTCCTCTTGTAGGATAGGTTCCTCCGAAGAAAGATGGGACAAACCTTCCATCGCTGCGCCAGGTAGGCGTACAGGCTGACTGGACCCGCGTACTCTTCAATGAACTGATTCGATCGCTGCGAAGCCATGCACTGACGTTTCTATCGATACCTGTTTAAGAATATCAGTCTTGTTGTCAACTAGCAAATACGGCGACGAAGAGTTGTCAAGGTCATTAGAAGATGAGGAGTCTATTCGACAGGAAAGCCTGATCGAGAAAATGATCCTGCAACTCAGACATACAGTAAAGCTTCATAAATAAATGATCTATTCCGATTTCCACTCGCAGCCTTCATCTCTTCCCTGGACGTGTGCCATGAAATGACATTCCCTCGATTCGATCATCTCAAATAGCTGAGATAGAAGCTCCAGGACGCATCAACTCTTCTCATGGTCATGATCACAGTGATCATCTCATCCCTACAGTCCATCGTTCTCATCATCATGTCTGCTCGCTCCTCTATGGTCCTCCTACCACTATCCCTTCCTAGACTGTCGGCATCCTTTCTCCTCTTCTCTCCTCTACCTTATCTCTGCCCTTTGCTACTCCTCTCCTCTCCTCTACTCTCCTCTACTCTCCTCTCCATACAACATTTTTTCACGATGCTCAGCCGCCATCGGCGTCAGGATCCGCTGCCGCCGATGGCGCCATGCCGCGAGCTGAGGGGTAGAAAGGGGACGGATATTGGAGGTAGGGGTACTAAAATGCAGGGTACTTTCTCTTTGAAACCTAGTGACAATGAGGGTAGTCCAAGCAGATTTTGATGGAGGAAGTAGGTAGGGGTACTTGAACACCGGTACTATTGTGGTACTTGAAAGGGTGGGTAACCAACTATGAGGTACCAGGGTTTTACAAAGCCTGCCCGAGCCTGGAAATGCAGGGGAGAGGGAGGGGAGGGGAGAGGGGAGGAGAGGAGGAGATGACGAGGAGGACAAAGACGAGGTAGAGGAGGAAAGAGCTTGACTGTGAGCGTTGAGGATCTCCGAGCTATGAGCGAGTGCGAAATTGAATGCCAGGGTAAGGATCGAGATGCCGCAAGGGAGTACAGTGGAGCAGAAGCCTGGGAATGGTTCGAGAGCGTTGGAAGACCGGTGTACTGGTTGGCGCCCATGGTGGGCCAGTCAGAGTGCGCCTTCCGCATGCTAGCACGGCGCAATGGCGCGCACATATGCTCCACCGAGATGATTGATGCTGCCGGATATGCGAGGAGCGAGAGCTATCGTGCACAGTTTCCTTTCCATCCTGAGGACAGGCCTCTGATCGTGCAGCTGGGGGGATCGAATCCTGCCGATCTAGCGGCAGCTGCAGCCTTGGCTGCTCCCCACTGCGCCGCTGTGGAGCTCAACGTGGGGTGCCCCCAGCGGTGTGCAAAGAAAGGTGGGTACGGAGCCTTCTTGATGGAGAAGCGCGAGCTGCTGGCAGAATGCGTCCGGAGCATGGCAGATGCGATACGAAAGTCAAACCCGAAGGCAGCTTGCCTGGTGAAGATCCGATGCTTCGATGATGTTGCAGAGACAGTGGAGCTGGCGAGGATGGTCAGGCGATGTGGATGCCAGTGCCTGACAGGTCAGCAGTGCTGTGGCCTACACATTGCACTGACAAGGATGAAAGTCCATGGGCGAACAAGGGTTCAGGGAGGAGGGAAGCGGACTGGAAGGTGGCCAGCCAACTGGGAGTGGATCCGGGCAGTGAAGCAAGCTCTTGACATCCCCGTGATCTCCAACGGCAACATCCGGTGAAAGCTGCTTCTGCTCCACCTGTCTCATCCCATGACGCTGCCTCCCTAGCACTCATCGGGACATCGAGGAATGTCTTGCTGCTACTGGAGCCGACGGAGTGATGAGCGGCTGCGGCATGCTGCGACGTCCATGGATCTTCCTCCCGCAGCATCCATGTAAGACGAACCGTCCCCCTTGCTCCTGCTAGCGTTGACCAATGCCGCTCCAAGACCAGCATGCCATGAACGACCTGCAGCTACGTGTTCACGCAGCTGCCGAGTACTTGTCGACTGTTGAGGAGTTCAGCTCTCACCCTAGACAGGTCTCGAAGCACATCCAGGTGTGCTGGAACAACTATGCGCGCAGTTTGATCTTTTCTTTGACGACCATCTTTCCTTGCCGTCTTTTTGCAGAACATGATTCCCGCACCTGTGATGAAGCAGAATGATTGTGTGGCAAAGCTTGTTGTCAAGATCTCTTGCCTGATAAACAACCATGTTCCGAAGGTAACACCTTGTTTCTTTTTTTTTGATGACACCTTCCAAGTCTTGCTTCCTCTGTGAACAATGAGTATGCAGGAGCTGTTGTCGGAACTCATCTGCAGTATCAAGCAAATCAAGATTTCCGATGATATGGAACATGTGGATGACGACGAGGACATTGCGGAAAGCTAGATAAATCATGAAGGCCAGCCATGAACTGAATACAAGAGGGGAATACAAGAAGATTTGAATACAAGAAGATTTTTATTTGAACATGCTTGCCGGGAATGTTCTTGTCCCGCATGGAAGCAGGACTCCTGCACATGTGCACATCCACGAGCTTGAGATCAATCAGACTCGCAACACCGAGAAGAGAGAAACACTCGTCCAGTTAGGAACTCCAGGAATCTGACCAAAACAGTTCTGCTTTGATGTAGTGAAAAAGGAGAAGAGGCAACAATTGTTCCAACAACATTGGCAGCGCAAGTAAGTAAGATTTAAGCGTTTTTATTGAAAAGAATAAGTGTTTAGAAAGAAGACAATTGTACAAGAACTGATGATAATCTTGGATCACTCTCGGCTGAGGCGGTTATGGCATCTCTGTTGAGAAAGGAAAATTGACCATCGACGCTTCTAACTTCTTCGCAGCATGAGAATTTTCCTTTCGAGCATCCATAGAATTCATCAAACAACGTCTTGCAGGCTGGCGATGGCTTGTGGTCTACACAAACATCTGGTTTACGGGAGGCGGAGTCTTGGATCTGGATCTGCATGACGTGTTCGATATCGAAGGCAATGCACATACTTTGGCTGAAGGGAGCAGAGAGGAGATCGATGGATGAATGTAAGAGATTTGCTATCTTGGTCAGAGGGGAGGAGGAGTTTCTTGGGTACGTGGTTGAGGTCGAGGAGGAGCGAGGATGCTAAAAGGGTTGTGGAGACTCCTTTTTATAGAAGGGGGGCCATATGCTGACAGCATTACTACTCACGAGACCATTCCAGATGTCAGCAGAAGAATATTTACTACACATTTCCTGTCATCAAACTACACACTGTAGTCATCGCACAAGAAGCCACGGTAATTTACATCGTTTCACCTTTCCTTCGAGAACTATAACCTGTGTTTTAAACGAAAGGATGTGTATCTCATGTCAAGAGATGTCATCATTACCACTCGGAGTCGCAAATAGCTCTAACTTTACATGTCAGCACTGGCTTGCGGACCCTTTTGCCATCGGAGTTCCACGAGGAAAGTTGACGAGAGACATGTGCTGCGAGCTCCACATAGAGAAATGAGGAACGCGTTTTACAGCAGGTCTTGCACGACATGTTGACGGAGTGATTCGTAAAGCTGGTGTGAAAGTGGCAATGGGCTTCAGAAGATGCATGGCAAGCTAATACAGTGTCGGTGAAACGGTTTCTTTGCTTGAAGAGAAGTGTGTTTTTGGACAGATGTGGCATGAAAACTAAGCAGTGAGACGTTTGTTTGGACTGTGTAAGACTAGATGGTTCTTGAGTGTCTTCAGCTGAGGACAGAACTACGGGATAGGCTAAAGGGTATGACATAGCATGGTCATGTTGCACGAAAGAGAGCTCGATCAGATATACACGTAGTATTTTTACGAGACGACTATCAGAACAAGCTGTATTTTTATTTTTTTTTCTTTCTTTTTTATGGAAAATTATCCCAGAATCTGCGCGATTGGTATACGAACATGTAACACCTCATCACGGGAGAGAAATCATTGAGATTTGAACTAAAGAGACATGTAGCTTTGCCAACTCGTATCAAGTACCAAAGAGAAGACAGTGCTGATATAAACAAGAAAAAAAATGACTCTTCATCTTGTAAAGCAAAACAAAACCCATGCGATCATACAAGCAGAACTGCATTGACACAACCGTCTAGCTCCGGGTTGTTGGTAACCTGAGCATATTTTCCCCAAACAACTTTGCCTGATGGAGTGACCAGTCCAAGATCGCTCACGTTGACTTCTACTACCGTTCCCTTGGTGATGACGCCCAGCTGGGTAGTCACTGCGCCTTGAGGGTTCTTCTTCACACCGAGGATCTCGAGCTGGAACGTTGCTTGCAGTTCGGGATGGGTCACGTTCGCCTTGGTAACACGCAAACCCATGGGTCTGATAAACCTCTCAAGTTTTGGAGGCTTCCTGGTGAAGTTCTGCCCCACGAATGTCATCTTGGTGATCATTCGCTTCCATGCCTTCTTCTTCCTCTTTCCACTCTTCACAACCTTGAACACTTCTTCCTCAGCAATGGGCCTCACAGACGGCAGCGGCACCGCCCACTTCCCTGCCTTCTCTTTCCTCTTCTGCTTTACAGTGTTGCTAAGGACTTTAGCACGAGAGACACCCTCCCTGTCCAACAGATAGGAAGGAACAGCACCCGAAGGAATTACATCCTCGTCCTTGTGCTTATTTTCGCGCTGCTGGTGCATAGCAATCGTTTTGCGCATAACAGCCTTCTCCTGGTGGCGTTTCTTGTGGTGCAACTTGGCCTTGAGACCGAAGGCTTTCTTTTCATATTCAGCCAGCTCATGGGGTCTTCTCGCTTCCTTCTTGCGCTTGCGTTCAAAGTGATCCAACCTAAAACCATGGCGCTTCCTGTGAAGCTCTATGTAATCTCCCTGAGGCATTTTGACCGATCAGAGAACAAAGTTGTCGCCGGCAGTAACGGCACTGTTCAGGAGGATGCTGCTTCAAGAGTGAAGGCTTCAACTCTTCAACCAATGAATGGATGAGAGGGGGGGGAGGGGAGCAGAAGCTTCTGAAGTAGGAGCAGGTCAGTGGGAGGAGAACAGCGGGGTGGAAGAGACAGGAGACTGGCACGGCAGGGAGCACACGAGCAAGTTGCGGGAGGGGTGGATCTGGCTGCTAATTTAGTTCAAGAGTCTACAATATCTTCCAATATTTCAAATATTGTTTTGAACTTTCGAAATTATAGATATAGTTGGGGATGAATTGTGAAAAACTAACTACCCTTCCTTGAAGGTCCATCTTAACTACCGCACGTGAAACATTCTTACATCCTATACCACCCCACCACCAATGCAATGGACCTCTTCCTGACGAATAAAGTACCCCTACATCAGAGTGCTAATTAACCCCTACGTTCGAGTAAATTCTCAGACTCAGCCGCACCCCTACCCTCTGAACTCCACAAATACATTCACCCCACCCCCTGTAAATGATGGGGTCCGATCAAGGCTGGTCCGCCTCGGCTTCAATTCATGCACTCATTCAGCACCACCCCTACCCCACCTCCAAATTCGATCACCCTACCCTATCAGCCATTAACATCACATTCGTTACTACCCCTCTGGAGGGGAACTTGAGGGGTACTAACATCGTGGTGGTATGCCCATTTCATCGACCGGTGTATTGACATCAGGACTACTACCCCCCCTTTTAGAAGAAGTTTGTCGCTCGGACAGACTACCCACCCTTCCAATTCTATTCATCCTTGGTCGGGCATGTTTCAGGATCGTGTACAATGTGCCCCTACTTTCAAGCTCGTCATTACCGGTACATTCGTTTGATTTATCCACCCTACCCTCTCATCTCACCCCTTTGACCGACAGTACCCCCATGGATTGGACCCACCCCATCCATAGGGGGCCGAGTAACCGTTGCTACCCTTACCACCCATTGTTCTTGAATTGCCTGGGAAACTGGGGGTTCTCAGACGGAATGTGTTATTGTACCCCTACCCCGGGTACCGGCCCCCATGTTAATTAATGACAATACCCATTATATAAGAACATTATTCTTATTTGTGGTAGATAAATTATCTTATTAGCTTACATATAATATATTTAACTGAATATTGGTTAAATAGGCCCAAAACCTGCTCGCCTCTGTAATCCTCCTCTATGCCGCGCTCTTGTTTGTGATCCGCATGCGGCCTCCGCACCTTCCTGTCTTCTTCTCTCGCTTCTCTTGCAAAATTTCCCCCCACTGATGCTACTCTCCAGAGTCCTGGTGTTCGCCTGCAGTTGCTCCTCGCTCTTTGCTCCTCGATCCTGTGTTGTTGTACTTGTTCCCTCGTTCTCGATTAGGTGCCAACAGTAGAGAACCGATGTATAGTTGACTTCTTGCCTCTCCTTTACTCATCTGCTTTCTGATAATTCATGTGAAAATGTTGTATTTGAAAGTTTTGGCTTCAAACTGCCTTGGTTTTCGCCTTTCATGAGGATCCGCTATCTCTTGTTGAGCAGTTGGATTTTTCATTCAGCGCTTGCAATCCATGAATGCTTGTGAATACTTCGTCTGTCGGTTCATTTGATCGCGTCTTTATTTTACTGTTCGAGATTGACTTCTTACATATGGTTGCTCATTTCTAGGTTGGTGGAGTGCGAGGGGGGGTGAAATGTCAGGCCGAAAGCCACGCTCGTCCTCCAGGGAGCCCAAGACGACAGGCAGGAAGAGGTCCAAGTCTGCAGGAGGAAGCAAGAGGACAGGAGAACGAACTGGACGCTCGAGAAGCTCCTCCAGAAAGAGGAAGGATGATGTGATCAGCGGCCTTGCGCAGATTGCGCACACGCTGTCTGTTGATGAGTTTCTAGAGGAGCTAAACTTTGATACCGACCATGGCCTTTCAAACAAGGAAGTTGTATCCCTCCGTGAGAAGTTCGGCAAGAATGAGCTGCCGAAAGGTGAAGGAGAGCCTCTCTGGAAGCTGTTCTTGAAACAATTCGATGATCCTCTTGTCAAGATCCTGCTTGGGGCAGCTGCAGTTTCCCTGGTATCCTCTTTCATCGAGGGGACGTCTGAAGGATTGATTGAGTTCTTCGTCATCATGACAATACTCATCTTCAATGCAGCCGTTGGAGTCTGGCAGGAGAAACGAGCTGAGGACGCGATTGATGCGCTTCAGTCGTACAACCCTGAGAAGGCCAAGGTGTTGAGAAATGGGAAGCTGTCGGAGATTCTATCTGCTGACATCGTTCCGATGGATGTTGTCGAAGTTGCGGTCGGCGACAAAGTTCCTGCAGACATGAGAGTGATCGCAATGCACTCGACGACCTTGAAAGTTGAACAAGCTGCCCTCACCGGAGAGTCTGCGAGCGTCAACAAGAATCCTAACGTGAGTTTGTGAATGCCATTTGCTGATTGTTTAAGCTTGCGATGTGACTTCGTTCTGCAGAGCGTTTCTTCCAAAAAAGATTGTGAGCTGCAAGCAAAGGACAACATTCTGTTCTCGGGTACCGATGTGGTGTACGGCAAGTGTCGTGGCGTCGTTATCCTTACCGGAGAGAAGACGGAGATCGGAAAGATCGCCAAGTCTCTCAGCGAGACGGAGGAGCACAGCTCTCCCCTCAAGGAGAAGCTGGATGCTTTCGGCGACCTCCTGACCAACGTCATCACCGTGATCTGCATCCTCTGCTGGGTTGTCAACATCTTCTCGTTCAAGAGGAAGGGCACGATGGTGGTCACGTCGACGTTCCGTGACTCGGACTACGGCTATCTCTGGTGCTGGCTTTTCGGTGCTCTGTTCTACTTCAAGGAAGCCGTTGCCCTTGCTGTGGCAGCCATCCCAGAGGGCCTTCCGGCCGTCGTCACCACCTGCCTCGCCCTTGGAACCCGCAGGATGGCAAAGAGAAACGCTCTTATTCGGCACCTCCCAGCTGTTGAAACACTTGGCTGCACCTCAGTGATCTGCTCGGATAAGACCGGCACACTGACAACAAACCAGATGAGTGTTGAGAAGGTCCTGACGTTTGGGAAGAACAGCACTGACCTGGTAAGAACCCTCATCAGAATCTTTCTGTAGTCCTCTTTTCGTTGCTGCGATCTCTTGCAGTTTTCTTTCCAGTCGATCTATGACTTTCAATCGCGCTGTATCTTGCCTTGCTTGTTTCTCACGTGTTAACAGGTGGAGATGGATGTGTCAGGCATCACCTACGAGCCCAAGGGAGAAGTAACCAGAGACGGCAGGAGAGTCACGATGAGGGATCACGACGTCCTTAGCTACCTTAGCAAGATCATGTCTCTATGCAACCAGTCCAACATCTCCTGCAACTCCGCCGGCCACTGGGACAAGATCGGAGAGTCAACGGAGGCTTCTCTCAAGGTGCTCGTGGAGAAACTTGCGGATCCCTCCATGTTGGGGTCGAGCGGCTCGCACACCCCAGGAAACGACATGTGGACAAAGATGTTCAAGAGAGAAGCCACGTTGGAGTTTGCGAGAGACAGGAAGTCCATGAGTGTCATCGTGGCTCCCCAGGGTGGAAGCAGCAAGAAGGTAGGGTTCTACTCCTCCTTCGTCTCGCCGTCCTCCCTCCCTCCCTCCCTCACCACACCTCCTCCTCCTTCCCCTTCTCCTCTCTGCCTCCTTCGATATTTCCTCTTAGTCAGAATTTCTAGGATGGAGTTCAACTTCTCTGCAAAGGAGCGCCGGAGAGCGTCCTCGCTCGCTGCACCAGCGCCATGATGGCAAACGGAGACATCGTACAGATGACTGATAGGATGAGAGAGGCTATCATGTCCAAGGTTGAGAAGGAGTACGGCAGCGACACTAAGGCTCTTCGGTGCCTTGCGCATGCCTTCTCTCAGAAGGTGGAGCTCTCCGACAAGAGGCTGGCAGATCCCAAGTCCTTTGCCAGCGTTGAGAGCAACATGACGTTTGTGGGAGTCGTTGGGATCCGCGACCCTCCCCGCAAGGAGGTCAAGGACTCAATCATGACCTGCAAGAAGGCTGGGATCAGAGTGATTGTCATCACCGGAGACAACCAGAAGACTGCAGAAGCTGTCTGTAGGATGATCGGCGTCTTCGAGCCGGTATCCCCTCCTTCCTCACACTCCATCGTTCCTCCCTCTCTCTCAGCGCTATGCAGCATGACTGACATTCGTCTAGGACGAGGACGTGCATGGCAAGTCTTTGACCGGCGCTGAGTTTGCCAGGATGAGCAGGCGGGAGCAGCTGCAGGCAGTGATGAACGCGAGCCTCTTCTCGCGCACGGAACCAATCCACAAGCAAGTGATCGTCGAGTGTCTGCAGACGCGGGAGGCAGAGGGAGGGCCAGGGGAGGTGGCAGCGATGACGGGTGATGGCGTGAACGATGCCCCTGCCCTGCATGCTGCAGACATCGGAGTGGCGATGGGATCGGGGACGGCAGTGGCGCAGGGAGCAGCGAAGATGGTACTTGCTGATGACAACTTCACGACCATCGTGGCTGCGATAGAGGAGGGGAGGGCGATCTACAACAACACCAAGGCGTTCATCCGCTACCTCATCTCCTCCAACATCGGCGAAGTCGTCTGCATCTTCCTCGCCGTCCTCCTGGGCATCCCCGAGGTCCTCGTACCGGTCACGCTGCTATGGGTGAACCTGGTGACGGACGGGCTGCCAGCTACGGCTCTCTCCTTCAACCCGCCGGAGACGGACATCATGACCAAGAAGCCAAGGAAGCGAGACGAGCAACTGCTCTCCGCCTGGATCCTCGTGCGCTACGTGGTCATCGGGGCGTACGTTGGGATCGCCTGCATCCTCGGCTTCATCTGGTGGCAGACAACGTACGAGCACGGCCCCAAGATGCAGTTTGCCCAGCTCAGGGACCACCTGCAGTGCCATGACAAGAACTTCAAGTTCGCCAACGGGTTCGACTGCCATGTAATGGAGGACAAGAGGCCCAAGACTGTCTCTCTGTCGATCCTCGTGGTCGTCGAGATGTTCAACGCACTCAACGCTATCTCGGAGAACGAGTCGCTGCTCATGATGCCTCCCTGGGTAAATCCCTGGCTCCTCGCCACCATCCTGCTCTCGATGACCCAGCACTTTATCATCCTTGCGGTGCCTCAGTTCCGCACTATCTTCCAGGTGGCACATCTGAACCAGGAGGAGTGGACGATGGTTGTGCTGCTTTCGTTCCCTGTCATCCTCCTCGACGAGGTTATGAAGATGATCAGCCGCAGGCATGAGAAGATGAAGGAGGAGGAGGACAAGAAGTTTGTGTGAAGTCCATCGCTGCATCCCCACCCCACCCCACCCCTCCCTCATATTTTGTTTTTTCTTCTTCTCTATTTGTCTCCAATAACAATACCTTGTTACTCGACCCATTCTCGTGCATCTTTGCCATCACTTGCTCCATCTCCTTCCCTTCCCCGTCACATCTTTCCCCGTCTCCCCTCTCCTCTCATCTGTTCACTTCGTTGCTCCTCCTCCCTCTCCCCTCCCTCTCCCCTCCCCTCCCCTCCCCTCCCCTCCCCTCCCCTCCTCTCCTCTCCTCTCCTCTGCTGTGCGCTTTCCCACCTTATCCTGCTATCAGTGCTATTCTATCACTCCTATCTTCCGCATCGCATCTGCCAACCGCACAATCTCCTCCTCTTCATGAGCAGCTGAAAGCGCCACACGGAGACGAGCTGTCCCTGGCTTGACCTGATGGTTCCTGGTGAGCACTGCGAGCGGGGACTTGTGGAGGAAAGGCTGAGGTGGGAAGCAGGAGAGCAGGAGAGCAGGAGTAGCAGGAGTAGCAGAGGATGCAGAGAGTTGTCCTCACCGTCGGGGGTCGGATGGCAGGAACATGGAACCCGAGGAGGAGAAGCTCCTTGCTGCAAGTCCGTCTCACAAGCTTCTCCTCCTGCTCCCTCCTCTACCTCGCTCTCAGCGCTCGTTCCTCCTCCCCCAGGAGGATGGGAACGATCGGGCTGCGTGCGGGTACACCGGTCGTCTGCTCGAAGAGCCTGACGTTATTCCACAGCTTCGCTCGGATCCATGGTCGATCCTCCGAGAGACGTAGCGATGCTCGGGCAGCAGCTATGACTGGATCCTACCTTGGGTGTCAGAGGAGGAGCAAGCAAGGGAGGAGGGAGAGGGATAGGAGGGATGGAAAGAAAGACGGCAAGGAAAATGGCGGGAAAACAGGGGGGGGGGGGGGGGGGGGGTAGAGGAAGAAGAGGGGGCAGAACAAAAAGAGAGAACGTTCACAAGAGTGAAAGGAGGATGAGATTGGGATCGTTCAAAGGCAAGAGGGAAGGAAAGGGAGATTGGATAGACAAGACGAGGGCGAGGGCGAGGGCGAGGACGAGGACGAGAACGAGAACGAGGAGATTGAGAAACCGGTAAAGCAGTGGAGTAGATCAAAGGACGCGCCATGTTGACTAGCAGGTCAACAAACTCTTGGGAGGAACACACAAAGCCGCCGTGCGCGCCGAAGGCTTTGCTCATGGTGCCAACGATGAGGTCCGCTCCTGCAAAGTCCTGCGGGAGGAGGAGGAGCAGGAGCAGGAGCAGCAAGAGCAGAAGCAGCAGGAGCAGGAGGAAGTATCATCAGCAACGAAGGGGGACAGGATGAAGGACATAACAAGAAGAGAGTGAAAGGAGGGGAGCAAGTGAGAACAGAAAAGTAGTGAAAAAAACCAATCACCTGTTTGCTGTAAACAAGAGATGCGTGTGCATCATCGAGGGCAAGGAAAAAGTTGTATTTCTGTTTTAGAAGAAGTAGTTGACTTGTAGAAAATTATCAGCTCAATGAATAATAATTCCTCTCTTTTCATGTTACAGTATCATCATCATCATCATCACCATCATCATCATCATCATCATCTCCATCATCATCATCATCACCATCATCATCATCATCATCACCATCACCATCATCATCATCATCATCATCATCATCATCATCACCATCACCATTATCATCATCATCATCATCATCATCATCATCATCATCATCATCATCATCATCATCATCATCATCATCATCATCATCATCACCTCATAGGCGCAACATCTCCATCCATGCTGAACAGAGAGTCGGAAACAACGATCTTCCTTGCAGCAGAGGAGGCTTGCAACAAGCTCTCCAGGTGCTCCATATCCACGTGCTTGTAAACAGAGACTTTTGACTTGCTGGACCGGCCGGCAAGTCTCAAACCATCGATGATGGAGGCATGATTCAGCTCGTCCGAGAAAACTTCAACGTCCTCCCCTTGCCCGAACAGAGAGAACACTGCTGTGTTTGCTGCGAACCCACACGAGAAAATCACTGCATCTTCCATCCCTTTCAGCTCTGCCAGCTCCCTAGAAAGCAAGCCCTGCTGCTCTGTGTGGCCTGCGACTAGAGGAGACGACCGCGGTCCCATGCCATGCCGAGTCACAGATTCAGCGACACTGGCGATGACTTGTGGATGGTTGGAGAGCCCAAGGTAGTCGTTCCTGCCGCCCACTCTCTCAGCCTCGCGCAACAAGGTTGCGTTGCGTCACTCACGTGCTAAAGAGCGTCAACTCGTGCTGATCATCGCCTCTCTCTCCTCTTCCTCTTCCTCCTCCTCCTCCTCCTCCTCCTCCTCCTCCTCCATACTGTTTCGGCATGAAGTTGCCTGATGCGTTCAACCATGCTTCTCTCGTCGCACTTGTCACGGAGATCTAAGAGCGGCATCATTCCTGGCGCCGCAAGCACAGCTCAGAAACCTTCACAGGCGAGCCTTGAGCAGGAAGAACGGGACGCAGTGTTCTAGTGAGGTTGCTTCGAGCTATCTTGTCCAAACTTCTCCTTGCCCATTCCTTCCATGCTGAGGCCATGAGGGCGAAAACTCTGCATGAAGTGTTTCATGTAAACTGTCAAAACATGACAATGACAAAGAGGACAGGAAAGGAGCTTCTTGCTAACATGATATTTGTCCTCTACTACAAATTTCTCTTTTTGACACATTGTAAACGGACACTCAGCTCTTGCTCGTCCCTTTCTTGTTCTCTTCCTTTCACAAACTTTCTTATATTTCATCTCAAAAAGTAACACAAACCATCTCCTTCTTCTGCTTCTTCTGCTCTTCCTCTTGCTTCTCCTCCCTCCCTCCCTCCCTCCCTCCCTCCCTCCCTCTTCCTCTCTTTCTCAACTTGCATGCGAGAAGCGTCTTCTCGACGCCCTTATGTCAAATGAAGTTTTACTCAACTCGACGGTCACTGCCGGCCCGGGCCGGTGCGACTCAGTTCGGGCCTGGCGGCGGGCCCGGCCGGGGATCTCAGACGGTGCGACCGGGCGGGCCGCAACGGTGGCACCGGGGCCTGACGCCGCGACCGTACCGTGCCGCCGCGTGCTCCAACAGGTCAGTGGTATGACACAGATCTGTGGTCAACTTGAAGGCTACGTCCTTGTGCTCAGATCTGTGCCGGGTCTGTCAGTGAACAGAGACCTCAAAGCATCAGAGATTAGCTCAAGTTACCGTACCGGCTCCGGGGGTCGGGTGAGTCCACGCCACCGCCGCGGCGCGCCATTGATGTTTGGACCCGGACCGCACGGTGCGCCAGTCAGCCTGCCAGTGCCTGGCAGGCCGGCGGGCGAGTCACAGTGTGGCGCGGAGTCACCGGGCGGGCCTGCCTTGAAGACGGACGCGCGGCGGCGCCGGGGCGACCACTGACACTAAGCCTAAGCCGCGCAAACTCTAAGCTGAGAGTGCCGCGATCGGCCGGGCGCACTTTTACAGTACGGTAGGCACTGAGGTCACTGCCAGGAAAGACGAGCCTGCCTCGGTGAACTAGACGTCACACTGGAAGCATGGGATCGGTGACGGTTGCCTAGCGGCTCTCCAAGTTCGTCCGATCCTCTCAGTGAGTCAGTCAGGCAGTGCGGCTACTCGGGCTAGTCACAGTGACACTAAGGCAGGGGCGAGGGGGGTTGGGATGATTTATGTACAGACTGACACTCAGTCCTCGTCGAAGAGGATGTGCTTGGAGTTGCTGTAGACGCTCGTCAGTGCGCGAGGCTCGCAGGAGGGAGGAACAGGCTTACCGAGACGTCTCTCCTCTCTCCTCCTTCCTCCCGTTCTCCTGCTCGGGTAAGAATGAGGGTGAGGAGATGGAGGCGAGGACAGCGCGGACTGACCTTGCTTCTTCCTTTCCCCGAGTGCTTCTCGTGCGCTTTTTGATATTTCTCGATCTTCTTTTCATCTTTCTCCTGCTGAGAGTCTCATGCTCGCGATGTCATGGCCTCTCCCGCTCACCTCTGACTTCTTGTGCATCGTGTAGGAGGCCAGGCGGTCGCTGCTCAGGTCCTTGTTGTCTTTCTTGTCCTTTCCTCCAGCCTTGTTCTTGCCGCCGTCCCCTCGCTCTTGCTTGTCAAACTTCCTCCTCTTCAACTTCGCCCCGTCCTCTTCCTTCCCGTCCCTGCGTCTCTTGCCCTTCACGCTCTTCTTCTCGTTGCGCTGCTCCTCCACCTCCCCCTCTCCCGTCTCGCCCTGCAGCTTCTCCCGCGCCAGACGTCTTGCCTTGCTCCGCAGCTTCGCGACGACTTTAGACTTTGGCGGTCGATAAGGAGCAGCGACGTAGGCCAGCGGCATCATTTGCCGCAGGTCGCGATCATCCAGCATGAGGATCTGCGAGAGCCGTCAAGCTCAAGCGAAGGGAAGAGAAGAGAACGGGAAAGGGAAAGGGAAAGGGAAAGGGAAAGGGAAAGGGAAAGGGAAAAGGGAAAGGGAGGGGGATGGGGAGGGGGAGGGGGAGAAGGGGAGAGGAGAAGTAGGTAAAGTATTACGAACCTCCTCTGGAGTAAGTCCAAAGTCGATGGGATCAGTAGTGCGATACTTGAAGCGCGTTGGGACGCCATCTAGTTGCGGAAAGCGGCGGAGAGAAGAGGAGAGGGAGAAAGGGATGAGGAGGGGAGGGAGGGGGAAGAGGAGGGGAGAACAAGACGACGAGACAGGCGGAGGAGAAGGCAACGAGCAAGACAGTGAAAGGAGGAATCGAAGGAGGTGGACAACTAGAAGTAAGAGGAACAGCGCAGATGAACAAGCACATACCGATGATGTCTTCATAATCCAGCTGATAGTATTCCTCGAGAAAGTCCTTGGCCCCGTACTTGGCTGCGACGCTCTCCAGCTCCGCATCTGTGATCTTGGCTCGAGCAGACTTTGACGGGTCGGACTTGTCCTTCTCCATCTTCTTCTCCTTCCGCGCGAGCTCTCGCTGCTCCTTAGCACTGAGCTTCTTCTCTTTCTTCTTCTTCTTTCCCTCCCTGGACGACAGCAACTCTACCTCGCTCTTGGGTGTCTTCTGTACCTCTCCTTCGAAGCCGACAAACTCAATCTCATAGTTCTTTTTCGAGACCGCCTTCACCACCCCCTCGTAGAATAAGCCATCTCCCAGGTACTTGGCCTGAACCACACTCCCAACCTCAATCTTCGTTTTCCCTCCTGCTTCTCCTCCTGCTTCTGCTTCTCCTCCTGCTTCTGCTTCTCCTCCTGCTTCGTCCCCCACATCCTCGCTGTCATTCTCTGTAGAAATCGTCAGGCCAACATCTAGGGACAACTCAGGATTTCCTTCATCATCATCTTCATCTTCAAAGGACTCGTATCCGATGGCGTCAAGAAAATCTTCTGCTGCCGCATCAGCAAAGGGATGAGCATCCTCCTCCTGCGAATCGTCACATCACGACTGAAGAAAAAGAACCACCGCCGCATGCTCTCACCGCATTGTAGTATTCTTCATCATACAAGGAGGCCATCTGAGAGTCGTACGTCTCTGGATCAAACTCATCCTCCAAGTCTACTTTGTTTGCATCAACGTGCGGGGCTCCACTGATCTTCTCGATCAGTTTCAGCCGCTCCACAATCTCCTGCTTCTTGAGGTTTTTCAACCTCCTCAGCTCTTCCTTCTGCAGCTCAAGCTTCGTCTTCTCCCTCTCCTGCTTTCTCTTCCTCTTCTCCTTCCTCCTCTCGTCTTGTCTCCTCACAGACCCGTCGATGTTACGAGCGTGTCCCACAATCTCCTCAGAGCCCTTCTGCTCGAACCGGAAGTTGTACTTCTCCTCGAAGTCCTCCGCATCCTTCACCGCCTCCTCGTCCTCACTGTCATCGATCCCCATCCCCCCGTGCGCATCAGTCTCTCTCTCCTGCTTCCATTGATTCCCCAGCACATAGTTGCGCAAGAACCGCTCGTCGTCGTCTACATCATCATCTTTCAGCAACATTGCAAGCGTCTGTGAGGGGTCGTTCTCAGCCATGCGATCCTTGGCGAACTCCTCGTACTCCTTGTCTTCCTTCACCTTCTCGTCCATGCTCTTGCTCTTGGGCATGAACAGGTCATCTTCGCTATCAGCATCCTCCTCCTTCCTCTTGAAGAGCGCCTTCAGCCTCTCCTGCTCCTCTGGATAGGTCAGCTCCTCCCCGCTTTTCGGTGGTGCATCGTCGTCAGAATCAGCGTCAACTTCTCCTCGCATGAGACGCTCCCTCTCGAGATCAATCACAGTCTTGGGTTTATGCTTCTTTTTGGATTCCTTCTTGTCCTCGTCCTCGTCCTCGTCCTCGTCCTCGTCCTCACTCTCGAAGAACTTGCGATCTTGAGAGTAGATCTCAGGGTCTTTCTTCTTTATCTTCGTCAGCGTTTGCAATATTTGTTGATCAATCTTATCCGTCAGCAAATCTCCTTCGTCCTCTTCCGTGCTCGAGGAGTCGTCGTCTCCTAACTGCGCCTCTAGCTCCTTCAATTTCATTTTATCCTTTAGCTTCTCATTGTGTTCAAACCTCTGCTTGAACTTCTCGTTCACAGTCAGGCTTTCTTCCTCTTCCTCTTCTTGCTCATCGTCGTCAAACAACTTCGCCTTCCCTTCTTCATCGTTGGATCCTTCTTGCTGTTGACGCTCCTGTCTCGCCTTTTTCCTCCTCCTCATTCGTGCGCCCGGCATTTTGTCTAGTTATACTTCAGCGAGTTGACACTGTCTGACAATGTTGCAGACTCTCTTGTCTTGTCGTGTCTTGTCTTGCCTTGCCTTGCCTTGCCGTGCCCTGTCCTGTCCTGTCCTGTCCTGTCCTGTCCTGTCCTGTCCTGTCTTGCCTTGTCGCTCTCTTAAAACATCAACAACCAACTCTTCGGCACGTGCATATTTTGTAACTGATCATGTAACCTTCGGGAATTCGATCATGGGCGGGCGGCCCGGGGCCCGGTCCGGGGGATTGACTCCGGCCGCGCGTCACTCGGACGGTGGGCGGCCGCGGGCCGGCCCGATGATGATGGCCGCCACATCTGCCACCGAGTCGGGCCAGTGACCGGAGAGGGGGGGGGGCGGGGCTCGCCGGGCCGGCCCGCCGGGCCCCCGCGGCCGGGATCATGGCATCGGCCAGTGCGGCTCGCTCGGATCGGACCTGGGCCCGGGACGGATGAGCGGCCCGGCGGCAACTTGAACTGCTCAGAGAGTCACACCCGACTCATGATCCGCGGCCGTTGACGGCCGCGGTGACCGGACGGTTATAACTTTCCAAGTTCAAGTTTTTGCGAAGGTCTGAAATCAAATATCACTGGTGCCATGCAGCCCTGTGCACTAACGTATCTGATGCGCCTTCAATTTACTGACTCAGGTCAAGGTTTGTTGAAGCATGATTGGATTATCAAAGAAACGGAAAAAGTGAAGAGTTCAAGAACGGCTGAATCTCAGTTATTCTCCCAACCTCAGTAGACGATCTGGAGGATATTGTAGAACGAGAGAGCGTACTCGCCTCTCGTACTCTTGCCTGTTGTTCATATATGTCCTGTAGCTGTAACCAAATGAGACGTGACAAGAATGCAAAAATCAGCTTACGCATCTTCCTGTGCGGGACTGAGAGGATTAGGAGAGTCCAGAAGATCTTGAATCCCTTTAAAGAGATATTGTCAGAGTAGAATCGGCAACATTGTCAATCAATTTCGAAGAATCAAAACTGTGTCAAGTGAGAAATAGCCATCTGGATTACCGAGCAGGATTTGCTTGATAGTGATACCCGGCTTCCACGCCTCATCTTCGTTCAAGATGCTGGAGAATTCATCAGCTCCAGGCCTTTCCATAGCGATAGACCCAACCTTAGACATACAGTTCCAGACGGGTAAACGTTCGGATGAAAGAACCCGGCTGGAAATCGACATTTTGGGGGTTTATGCGGATAATCTTCAGAGAACTCCATTGTGATGTCGAACAATCCCCCTGCCCAGATGGTGTTTTCCTTGCCCGGAACCCCGCACTTCCATCTCATCAAGTTCATGCTTCCATCTGGATTCTGATCCAAACGAGCAAAAAATCCTACAGGGTGATCCTTCCTCCACGATCTGCGCTCTTCGGTCAATCTAGACCGGGCAATCCCTGCCATTCTGACAACGGGTCAACCTTCAAGAAGCACATGTGCATATCAGATACCTTCTGTTCTTGCCAAGATTGGGAAGTTTTCTTTCAAATTGTGAACCACTCCAGCTTCCAGAAGTCTTGAAATGTGTTTCCCCGAAGAAGTGGGGTCTCGGAGTCCCCGGCGAATCTGCAAGGAACAAAGAGCATGGTTAGCAGGGCGAAAATGGGGGAACTTCTAACAAAGCAAGAGACAAATGCAGGTATCTTGGAGGGTCACGTTACGCAAACAATCACAACTTCTACAGTGCATTAGACCTTCGAGCTCGTCGAAGGGTGTAACAAATACAATCATCCGTGCACTTTCCGAAAGAACAGAGGCGAATTGCACTTTCCAAGGGAGACATATGAGACAGAGAATGCTGGTAAAGATACATGGTGCAGTCCACGCTTCCTGCAATCTACCACTCTCACCATCCATTCAATTTCTCAGTTTCTCAGCATCTCTCCTCACGTCTAGGCCCTTTATGCTCAACCTTTCCTCTCATGAATCTCATTTTCAGAATTTGTTATTCCTTCTCATTGCCCTCTATGATAACGTGTCGCCACTTCGCTTTCAACATTTCATATTCATCGATGCCTCCATTTCCCACTTTCCCAGTCAGCATGCGCTTGCCGCGCTTTTGTCTCCCACCTACCCCCAGTTATTCTACCCCACCCCCCTCTGAGTAGAACGTATACCCCCACCCATATTTTCCCTGTATTTCACCCATCCTTTTCATACTTTTTGATCACCCCTACCCATGTATATGTATCAACCCTCTTCTCCCCCGTTACCCACCCCCATGGCTCCCACGAACCCCTACTTCGCCCTCTTTCTCGGTCTACATCAATCGGATTCACCAAGATACAAATTTTTCTTCAAACTTTAAAACTATACCATGATTTTTGGAAATCATAAAGTAGTCTTGGTGAACTTCTGAGGATACTACACTACCTTCCCCTGCCTTTTCACACATGGGGGTATTCTGACCGGCATCATCCAACAGCTGGGGGGTAAAACGGTAGGGTGGGGTAGTGTTACATACCCCCTACCTGCTCCTTGAATCACTGAGTCATGCTCAAAGATAGGGGTGGGACTCCGGGACTTTCAAAGTTTCCGAGTCACTAGCGAAGTTCCAAACTTCAAAGTTGCCGGCGAGTCACCGTCAACCGTTGACTCGATCCCGGATCATCCGATGATCGGATGGGACTCCCGACTCCGAGTCCCGAATCGGAGTCCGCGGCCGCCGGACTCCGTGACTTACTAGTTAGCACTGCCGCAGTGCGGCAAGTTGAGCCTACTAGGCTAGTAGTGACAGGCACAGAGTCTGGCCGGGCACTGCCTTCAGTCACTGCTGCACGCCGTGACGCGGCACTTCAGTCCGGGACTCGGAAGGCGCGCCGCGCGGCCGTGGCAGCCTGAATACTGGTTCCCCCGTCCTCGTACTTCTTTTTAATTTGACTTTGAGTAAAGTACAGGTGACGGTGACCAGTGACCGGCCGCGGGGCGCCGCCCGGGCCGCGCCGGCCGCCGCGCACTGCATCTGGGATCAGATCGGATCCGGCGACGGACTATCCAGTGACTCAGTGACTCAATGCCGACTGGCGCCAGCCTCGGACGGTGAACTTCCGGGCCCGGTACTAGTAAATTCTTGGCCCGGAATATGGTACCCCCCTTTTCCCTATCTTCTTGGAGGTCTGCATGGGGTGGGTACCTTACTTGTGACTAGCCCGCTACCGGTTTGCAAAGAGAGGAATACAGGGGTGGTGGATGTCCTGGCTCGCACGGGGAGAATTTTAATTTTAAGCACGAAATGTAAATATGATTTGTACTGAAGTAATTGACTGAACATAACTTTTATACCTTTAAAATTAAAAGTGGTATGAAGATACACAAAGGGATCGTATAAAAACTGCGACCCCCTGACAAATAGTAGCATAATTTGTACCATTTCCAGACAAAATGGAACTATGGTACTAATTTACAATATCCACTTACAACTTTCTTTGGAGAGCTTATACATGAGACAAAACTAAGTTGTAATGCTATAATCTTGCTTTTTAAAAAAATGCCAAAGAGTGCCAGGAGCGATATCGAGTCCAGGAAGTTCCGAGAAGCCGTGGCGGCATGGCTGATGCTGAGTGGGAGGGGGCGAGACAGGAGGAGAGCGGCATGAAAAGTGGGGCAGAGAGGCAGGAAAGATCGTAGAGCAGAGCAAGATGGGATGGCACAAAGAGTTCAAAAGTGAGAGCTTGATCAAATTTAGGTGAGGATTTACTAGAGAGAGAAGAAACTGGGAGGGCAGGGGCTTGATAACCTGATGGAATGTAGACAGGATTATTGGTGTAGTTGGTATGAAACATTGCAGTGACGTTGGGAGGTAGAGGATACATGAGAGTAGATGCTGTAGCAGGAGGTGGGCCGTGGGCAGAGCGTCTTGATCAGGATTTAACTTGGTTATGGCCCTTCTAAAGGGTGTCATGGGTGGTGATTCTGACATGTATTGGTCGAAAAAGTGATTGGGTGCAGTGCGATTGTGTGATGTTTTGTTTGGAAGAATGATATTTTTTTATCAAGACGATTGGACAAGCGTTGGATAGTTAAAAGTGAAAAATGTCAGCGCTAGTGCTATTTTTGGACTATCCTATTTCTCCTTGCCGTAGTTTAGTCCGCGATCTAGCGCAAAATCGTTTTTAACTTCGTAAGACACGAGTGGGTGTCATAGGTCTTGCACATTTCGAATTAGTTTTTTTCGTCCTCTTCACTGAGTCTGACTCATTGGATATATCACAGGCTCAGACAATGATTTGGTTCATTGTTTTGTCAACCATTGCCGCCGTCGTTTTGGCATGTAAGAATTGCAACACACAATTTTCTCATATACTGACTTCCTGTTGTCAACAAGTATTCATATTTCGATCCGTCAGAAGAGTTGATAACATTTTCTTTCGTTTACCTTATGACAAGGATTTGCAAGACCTATTTCGGTATGTATCGTATCAACTGCCAACTTGTCTCATTCCTACGCAGTCAACATATACATCGTGCGCAAAGGATGGAGGAGGAGCTCACTGTAAGACTCCTCGTCATTTCTTCGAATCAGTGACGTGTCGCAGCAATGGGTCCTTGGCGAAGTTGATCCCGATCACTTGGCAGATCTCTATGGGATGGATGAGCAGGTCTAAGAATAGTGATAGATTGATCGATGCTGAACGTGCATTGTTACAGGAAGCATTGGATCTTGCGATGTGCACATGCTGCCTCTTTGGGTTGGGGAATGCTGTATCTTTCTTGTTAGAACAAGGGGCCAGGATAGATGCCCCATTGCTTGAACTCGGTCCGGTGATACTGCATAACCTTGCGCGAAAACGTGGGATCTCGGTTCAGGTGAGATTGTGCTCAAAGTAGGAAGATCTTCGATGAGGGTTACGTGACTTGGGGTTCAGGAGAGTGATTTGCAAGGGAGCACGGCTTTGCACATGAGTGCCCTTTGTGGTCATCCCGAGCTCGTTGAAGTTCTGTGCAAATTGGGAGCAGATCCAACTCGCAGAAACTTGCGGGGGGACCGACCTTCTATGCTGATTTCCAGCTGTTCAACATCTAATTGTATCTGCATATCGAACAAGGTCTGGAGCTTCGGGTGTCGCACATCGCGTACTCGCAGAATCATCAAAGCTGCACAAGTACGGCAACAGCTCTTTGGAATCAGCAATGTGTTTCCTGTGATAATCGATGGCATTGAAAGAGTCTTTCCGGAAATCTTCGATTATCTTGCTCCGCTCACGATTTTTCAATCCAGCTTTTTCAACTTTGACTCAGACGATCAGGACGGCTTCTTCGACAAGGCGACGCAACAGAAGTCTGCGCGCAGGTCAAATGAAAAAATTCAAAGTCAGAGGGAAAAGGGCATCAACTGGAACCCAGTCTTGTCGTTCTTTGTGTTGCTTGCTGGATTTATGATGTACATAGGCAATTCAAATGCTCCGCTGGACGATATTGAGACTTGGATGAATCCCACAAGCTTCCCTACTTGTGCCCATTGCTTTCTCTTCGTTGTCGTCATAGCAGGCTATCGATGCGTTGGGGCTTTGAGTCCAACATCTAATCACGATGATGAAGTGGATCTTAACAGTTTCAATGCACTGCGTGAAGATTACTACTACTCTCAGCAGAACTACAATTTCAAATCTGGATGTACTTGTGAGATAGAGAAGTCTCAAGCGCTGGGAACAGATGCTAACAGTACAGTCCCACAAACAACTGTTCGTCAACAATCCAATCATGGTAAAGCTCAGTCGAACTCGGCTCCTGTTGCCCCTCCAACAGGAGCAAGTGTTCCTAGTCCTCCAAACGCGAAGAATGAGAAAGCCGAGAAAGAAGCAGATAGACGGATTGCGCAATTGGAAAGTCAGGTACTCATACTCTCCTTACAATGTTGATTTTTTTTGACTTTGAGCCCTTAGCTGCAAAAAGCTGACTCGCACTTCAAAGCAAATGAATACGATGACGCGTTAAAGATTTATTCCGAGATTGCCAGTGGTGTCTTGCGATGGTTGAATCATGAGAAATTTGAGGAGGTAAGATCTCGGCAGAGGGATTGCTCGCTTGAAATTGCAAAACGAAATGCAAGTGAGGCTCGGCACGTCCAAGCAGTTAAATGGTTCACTGAGACTTTGGTGGAATACTCGGAATCCATGCGATACGACCAGATCTTGGAATTACGACTTGGCCGAGATAATAGTATTCTGACGCACTTGGCTACTAGTACAGATTCCGAATCTTGTGCTGATTTGCACTCATATTTACAAAGACTGACTGACGTACATCGCCCCGTAACTGTTGCCTCGCAAACATGGGCAGCATGGAAGAAAAAGGACAAGCACATCTTTTCACCTTTACTCGAGGCTCGAATCGAGCAAATCCGTGACTCTCGGGTTGGATCTCCTGTTCTTTTAGCTGGGATGGCGAAGTATGAAGCAGCCTTGAAGACTTGTGAGAAGATGGCAGAGACGGATATAGTGGCTATGAAAGATCTAGACGACATCAATGTGCAGATCTTAATCTGGATGGCTGAGGCAGGTTCCATGACTTGCTCGGTCGGCCACAGCGATTCATGTATTGCAGACTGTCAAAAGGCAATCTTCCACATTGACAGCGCTGCAAAGCTTCTCGAACAACAACTGCAACGAGATCCATCATCGGACGGTGCAATCAGACACGAAAAGATGGTCAAATGTAAGGACATCAAGTGCAAACTGGAGGAAACTCTCTCTGGGCAGTATGCTCTCAAGGAGCGCGATGCAGAGGAAGCGTTGAAGATTGAAAAGGCGCTTGAGGAGCAGCGCCGACTTGATGAAGAAGCCCGAGCGCTGAAACGAGCACAAGCAGAGGAGAGACAAAGAAAAGCGAGAGAGGAAAGGCAGAGGAAGGAACAAGAGCGAAAGGTGCAGCAGGCGCAGGAGAGGGAGGAGGCTGTGCGGAGGAAGGCAGAGGTAATCGTGAACGTCATGTGGTATGTCTCCCAAGTTGATGGGGTTGTCTGCAGGAGGCTGCTGCCAAGAAGAGAGAAGCGGAGGAAAGGAAAAAGAGAGAGCAGCTCCTGGTTGCCTCGCATGAGTTTCGATTGCGCTCTTGGTAAACGTGAGGCAGGCGATGAAGCAGGAAGCTGAAAGGCTCAAACGTGAAGAGGAAGAGCGAGAAAAGGCAATAGCGGCCGAGCAAGCACTTGCCTTGGTGATTCACCTCCTCTTTGTTATTTCAAGTGAAGCTGCTGCTTCAGGCGATCCAGGAGGCCAACAAACGGAAAGAAAAAGAAGCCCAGCAGAAGGAGAAGGAGAAGGAGAAGGAAGAGAAGCAAAGAAGCAAAGAGCAGCTTGCTCGGGAGAATCAGAAACGCGTCAAGGTCAGAGGCTATCCCTTCCACGACTGGTGACTGACTCTCAAATCAGGATGAAAAGAAGAAACTCGAGCAGCCAGAAGTCAAGAAACCTGATCCCAAAGTACTTGAGAAGGAAGAGCGGTTCGATTCATTCCTTGTTGATCAGTTGCTCAACTCAACACAATGACTTTCAGGGACAAGGCAGCACAACTCATCCACGATGGTATGTACGAAGAAGCAGTCTACGCTCTTTCTCGCCTTCTGCTCAATCAGGTCCCTTCGAGGATCACTCAGTCCCAACGAGTGAGTGACTTATTTTTCTCTTCCAGGGAATCAAGATGTCGAAGACTGAAGTGTCCAAAGTGGTTGACCAGCAGAGGCAGTGCATCTTGCACTGCGCAAGGAAAGGAGCTTCCCAGAGCTTCGGGTTGTCGCTTCCAGCCGCGCTGTCGGAGGTTCGAGATTTCCGAAAAGACCCGGTCGACGAGACCTTGGTCCGGCTGGTGTTAGGTGAACTGGAGGAGGCTCTGGCCGTGTGCGAGCGCAGCTCACAGGAGCTGATGGTTGGAGGAGTGAATCTCAAGTACGAATCTCTAGTGAGTCTGGCTGGAAAGCACGAGGAGGCTGGAAGGTTGTCTCAGGCGCTGCAAACATTGTTCCGAGCGTCGAAGGTCGATCCAACGAGGAAGAAGGAGCTGGATAAGTCGATCTCGCGGCTGCAGGTCAAACTCCGCGAAGCCAACCACCTTGCCCACAGCTCCAAGTCGAACGGCAGATTCTCCGGACAAGACGGGAATCAGAATCAGGGTGGACGGCCGTTGGTTACAAGCACGGGCTCCAGACATGCTCCCAAGCACATTAGGGTCACCAACTCCAACAACCACCGCAATGACCACCTGCCTGAGGCGGACTGGTCAAGCACGTCAAACGGCAGCGGCGCGTCGTTGTTGGCGCAGAGCGGCGAGAGGAGCAGTGAGTTCAACCTGAGCTCGAACACCAGCCACTCCTCCCTGTCCAACGGAGCTACTCCAAGTGTTGACATCCCTCTCCAGTCGTTCACCGACTTCGGCGCCATGTCAGCCTTCTCGATGAACGCCAACGGAAGCAGCTCACAGTCGATGCCGGTATCCTCCAGCTCGTCGGCTGTTGCTAGTCAGTCGCTCTTGGGGATCTCGAGTCAGGGCAGCCGGGAGCTGAACTCCTTCTCCCTTCCTAACACCTTCGCGTCTCAGAACAGCCAGCACCCTCAGCCGCTGAGGTCGCACTACTCCAACGGATCGTCCCTTCCGTCTGGCCAGACCCTCTTGCAGCCCAACGGCATCGCAGGTCTCGGCGGGGTCGGACGAGGAGAGGACGCGGGCATCTCAGCGTATTCCGAGGACTCGAACCTCCTCCTCCTGCACTCGCTGGATGGTACGAAAGACTCGATGAGCGGAGCTGGGATGACAGGGCACGCTGGGTCCTCCTTCCTCCTGAATCCTTCCTACGGTGTACAGGACATGGAGGGGTCGGGCCTGCTACGAGACTCATTCTCTCATCCTTCAGACTTGTATCCTCTGGAGTCGTTTGCACCCTCAGCCGAATCCTTCCAGCATTCTCTTGGCTCCTTCGCGTCCTCGGGGGACGCGTTTGTCGGCAACGGCGGACAGTCTGCGCCTTCCAACGGGCACAAGCGCTCAGAGTCGGTGGACAACTTTGGACTGGACGAGATCCTTTCGATGCCGTGGCTGAGCGAAGACCCTGAGAATCTCATCACTGGCCCCAGCTCCATGAGCTCCCTAGGGGACCTCTCGCCCGTCACCTCGGGACTCATCCCCGAGTGGACCATTGGCAAGTCGAAATGGTGAGAACCTGAGGACTGTCGCCGGGAGTGGCATGGGGGGTCGGGAGCTTTCCTGAGTGGACCGTTGACTGGGAGTCGAAGGAGACGAGATGGAGAGGAGCGGGGCGGGCGGTAGCCTAAGGAACATCAACATCTTAATTAAAGCGTTTAAAGTCTATTAGCTCAGTCTTTTAAAGACTATTAGCTCAGTCGAAACTCTCTAGATCAAGTTCTTTTTTTGTTTTTTTTGGAATTTGTTTCATCAAACTGACTAACTGTAAAACCGCTCAGGCCGTTGACAAGCGAAATGCTGCAGAGCTGGAAACAATAATGAGGCCCGGAGGAGGGAAGGAGAGGGAGGAAGGGAGGGAGGGAGGGAGAGGATGAGACGAGGGAGCAGAGAAATCATGCAAGATGACGAACGGAGACAAGGGGGAGAGAGGCAGGGGGGAGAGGAGACAAACGATGTGACGCAGATTCGACAGAAAGCTGTTCCTAGAATGCACGAAGAGACTTTGTTGAGAAAGGAGAGAGACGGAGAAAGAGGAAGAGGATAGGAGGACAGGGACTAGTTGCAGCATTGGAGCCGGCGGTTCAGAGCAGCCATGGCAAACAAGAATCAATGGCCGAAGCTTGTGGAGCTCAACGAGGTTGTTCCCGCGGATCGAATGGCAGAAGATCAGCTCCGCAGAAAGGTGAACAAGACATGTCTCAGCGAGCTCCTCCTGCTCCTAGTCCTGCTCCTGCTCGTCCTCTTGGTCCTCGTGGTCCTGGTCCTCCTTCTGGTCTTCCTCCTGTACCTCCTGCTTCTCCCAATCATGCTCCTCCCCCTTCTGCTCCTCATCCTGCTCCTCCTCTTCCACTTCATCGTCCCCCCGCCCCCACCCGCGCCGCCCCCGGCCCCCGGCCCCTGTCTTTTCCCCCTCCTCCTTTCGTCGTCGTCGTCGTTGTCGTTCTCTTCCTCCTCCTCCTCCTCCTCCTCCTCCTCCTCCTCCTCCTCCTCCTCCTCCTCCTCCTCCTCTTCCATTTGCTCTTACTAACTTGCTCTCCCCTCAGATCCAACTTGCTTCCGACATCGGGACAGGGGGCATCCTGAGGAACCCGTTATACTCTGACAAGTCAAGTATGATGCTGACGGAGCAGTCAAAGTTGCGCTAGATGTTGTTGTTGATCGCGTTCCTATCAGAGAGTGATTTGATCACACCCAATGAAGGGTTTTCCAAGATAATCCATGAGTTGAGTGAGTACATCCAGTGGTAGGAAGATGATGATTTCCTCTCATTTCGACTTTTTCCAAGATCGTGAGTCGTCAAGGCTGCAAGACATCCTTCATGGAAGAGAAGACGGTGTTGCGACATGTTTTGTGAACTTCAGTCGGAGACTGACTGACTTGTTTCGACAGAGTCCAAGACTGAGGCAGGATGTTTGCTCTGACTGACACGGGTTGAACTTCCTTGATCAGAACGTGGACGACGCTATGAAAGAACATGCCTTGCATCTGCAGCAGGTGCTTTCTCGGGATTTCACCTCAGCCTCCTAACTGTGTTGATTGCTCCATTACCATCTCATCTTTTTTCCTTCCTGATTGCTTCTTCAGCGGAAAGATATCAAAGAGTTCGAGTCATCTCTTGGGTTGAACCTTCACTATCCCAGCCCGCGCACAAAATTGAAGTGAACTCCATGATTGCACAGGGTGTTGTTTCCTTACCATGACAACTCAGTATCGACTTCCTTGGTGCTACCGTTCAAAGCAAGATGAAACATCATGGAGTCAACGAGCAGTTCCAAGTTCGGATCTTCACTTTGATTTCTCCGCTCTTGTTGCCTGATCAAGTTTGTTAACAGAAAGAGTTCCTGGTGCAAGCAACAGAGCAATTATGCAAGATCAACACAAACATCGAGAAGCTGAACGTAAAGGATCTCTCTCCTCGTCGCCTTCTACTTGTACTCATCAACTGCTCTCAGCACAAATTCACCAAGATGGGAGTTTTCAGCGAGGAAGTGAATGCAGTCAGATGTAACACAAGGAGGAGAACTGAGATGGTTGAAACTGTTTTCATCGCTTCCTGTTTGTTGCTGACAAGAGAACAGGCAAACAAGCTCAATCTCTACAACCTCAAGGCTTCTGTGAGCAAACCTTGACATGTCGAATGGGCAGCCAATTGATTTGTTCCAAGACCGCGAAAGAAGCATTCATGATCAGTGAGCAGAATGATCGAGCAGGTGAGAAGTTTGATCTTTTGTTGATTTGAATTGTGACCCGCAACATTTGCAAAGCTGCCTGGAGGAGGCACGAAGATTTGGACACCATCTATCACGCTTTCAGCGGAGAAGAAGGAAGATGTGAGAATAGATGAAGCACGTCGTGTTGATGATGATGATATTTGCAGGGACAGGAGCTGACATTGCCATTGTTTGTAAAGCCTTTCAGGTTGTTGAAAGGAACAAGATGTTTGTTTTTGTGTTGACATGTGCGAAGGGACTCGGGATTGGTGTGACAGAGTTGGAGCTGCAGAGAGTTCTAAAGACAGATGTCGATCGAGCTGTTAAGTTTCAACCATCTCGGAAAAGGGATGTTCCGACTTTGAGGACAATCCTTGCAAGTTTGGACGTTGACATGTCTCGTGCGATCTCATCAGAGTTGTTGATGAGATGTGAGATGAGTGATGAGATGTTGTACATGTTGATAATTGTAATCAGGTGAGAGACCAAAGGCTGATTACAAGAACCTTTCTATTGATGTCCATGTAGAACATGTCGACTTGAAGTACAAACTCGAAAGGTAAGGGGAGAGGAAAGGTGAAGGTGCATGAAATGACGGCAGCGACGAAAATGGTGGTTTGATGATGATGATCATGATCATGAGGAGGAGGAGGAGGAGGAGGAGGAGGAGGAGGAGGAGGAGGAGGGAGCGGGAGGGGGGGGAGAAAGGAGGAGGATGTATCAATGCTACCGATGCTGTTTGTTTCTGTTGACCCTGTATCATGTTGTCCTTACTGTTGGTTTCTCAGAATCAACAAGATCAAGGCAAGAGTTGCTACTCTTCTGCAACATGGTATCATCGAACAGGCGCATCGTGATGTTCAAGAAGCCATGAAGCTTGACCCTGTCGACCCTAAGCTGAAAGAGCTCGAAGTATCACAACTTGTTCTCTTTTTGATGTAGATGTTTTGTCATATTGTTCTCTTATCGTCATGTTGTCTTGTTGTCACATCTTATTTCGTTGTCATATCGTCATGATGTTTCGTTGCTCTTTGTCTTTTCGTCATCATGTCTTGTTGTCATCATGTTTCGTTGCTCTTTGTCTTTTCGTCATCATGTCTTGTTGTCATATGGGTCGTCTTGTTGTCTTGTTTATCCTTCTCAGGCCAAAGTCTTGCAAGCAAAGACGACCAACCAGCAGAACAAAGTTAGCGAGGTCTTGTGCTGATGTTTGCTCCTCATGTCTTCTTTGAAGGTATCGACAACCTTAGACGCCATGATGAACGCGATAACGAGCAAGACAAGTCAAGTGAGATGCGATGAAGAGATGCTTGTTGACATGACACATTGATTCTTCAGCCAACTCAAGATACAGATGTTCCAACTTCAAGTTCCGGTCAGTTTGAGCTCAAAGTTGAGGAGAAAGAGATGAGAAATGACATGTTGTACTATCAGTAATCAACCGATCCAACTCAACTCCGGCAGAAAAGAAGAAAGATGATATTGTGGTAAACTCTTTGTCGTTTCTCGTTTCATCTTCTTATCTGGCTTGACGGGTACAGCCCGACGATTCAAATGACATGAGAATGCATGTAAGTTGACGATTTGTCGTCGTTGATCCCAAAATTATCACCACCACCATCATCACCATCATCATCATCATCATCATCATCATCTCCATCATCATCATCTCCATCATCATCATCAT